GTGAGGTCACTAATGTAGTTAAACCACTGCTCAGTGGCAGGGCCCCTGGAATGAATGAAATGGGCGCTGAATTCCTGAAAGCTGTGAATGTTGAAGGGCTGTCCTGGCTGACATGTCTCTGCAACATTGCATGGAGGTCTGGTTCTGTTGGCTTATTGGCATATTGTGACCAAGTATCTCAGGGTCTTGTGCTCGAGTAAGGGGAACATGAGTTTGACAGATGGATTGGAGCGGCGTCTGCAGTGATGCAGATGCTGTACAGATCTTAGTGATGGAAAAAGAGCTGAGCATGAAAGCAAAGCTTTCAATTTAGTGGTCTATCTACTTTCCTACCCTCACCTACATTTTACACAGCTTCCCAACGACGTTTGGACTTGAGGCTGAAATAATCCATCAGTCACACGATGAATAATCAGAGAGTAGAAGCTAAGCCTATGTTTGAAGCCACTGAGGTGTTCGATGGCGGGGTGACGTGGTTCCACTGAATGAAACTTGAGATGATCCAATAACTCCGTACCTATCCTGTCTGTTTAATACCTGTATCGCTTTCCATCGGTTGCGTTTGCTGCTCATCAGTTCTCTCAGTATCCAGCATCATTTAATATAAATCACAACAGTACAGCAGTCACAAACCATTTCCTCCTTCCAATCAATGACACCGGACGCTAATTACATGTCTACCTTAAAAAGATACCATACTGTAAAACAAACAGTGACCCCTAGTGGCTCACAGAAGGTAACAACACAGAAAACGGCTCCTACAAAAAAACTTATAGAGAAATAAATTTGTTGAAACCACACAAGATGAACGTTGTCACTTCCTCTTTATTTCCATTCTTTATCTTTGATTTCTAGTGTTAGAGGCTGAATGTTAATTGTATTTTCTCTTTGATATTTCTAAACCATTTACAGATATGTTTAATTAAAGTGTACATTTTTATACTTCTGTTCTCAGGGTGCAGACATGTCTGCTGCCACCAATCTGCAGTATGAAGATCGCTTTCTGTGCTCCATCTGTCTGGATGTGTTCACTGATCCGGTCACCACATCATGTGGACACAACTTCTGCAAAAAGTGCATCACTCAATATTGGGATGTTCATGAGAGGTGTCAGTGTCCCCTGTGTAAGGAGACTTTCAAGAGTAG